CTTTAAACAAAACATTCATTTTTTGCATCCATAATTTTAAATACATTAACTTTTTTCAATAAACCATAATACAGTAGTAAATGACAATTTCTTTAACAAAATAATAACATTATTAATGGCAGCAGTTACCATATTTATTTCTCATATTGATATGCAGTGATGACCATCTTCTTAAAAGACATTTTAAACTGTTTTATATTTGGACATTGCTTGATTGCCATACTTAAACCATTCCACAGCTTCACCCCATGTACTGATATACAAAAGCTTTTCCTTGTGGTTCTATATTTTCATATTTTAAATTCACATTTTTCCCTTAAATTATAAAGTCCTTCCTTTTTGAAAAAAAGCTTTTGAATGTTTCTTGGTAAGGAATTATTTCTTGCTTTAAACAAAATCGTAGCTGTTTGTAAATTCACTATGTCAGTGAATTTTAAAAGTTTAGATTTCATAAATAGTGCATGTGTATGATCCAAATAACCGACCTTATTGATTATTCTTATTGATCGTTTTTGTAATGTTATTATTGACTTTAGTGAAGTTTTGTAGTTGTTGCCCCATAACTCTGCACAAAATCTCAGATGAGGTAAGACTAGTGGACAGTAGAGAATGTGGAAAGCTGTTTCCTCCAAAACATGTTTAGCTTTATTTAAAATAGACTTTTTGACAATTTACCTTGTATACCTAATTTGAGGTTTCCATGTTATTTTATCATCAATAATGACCCCAATAAATTTTTAATCATTTACTCTTTCAATGTTTACACCATATATCTTTATTTTGATATCTTTATTTATATTTTTGGCGTTGTAATTGGTACAGTTTTATGGTTTAACTGCTCAGCCATGAATGTACCTGCCTACTTCACCCATTATGTTACATTTTTTAAGGTTGGTGAGCTACARGTATTTTCCAGCCACAACCAAGTAACAAGTAATTCCGTTGTTATGAAAACACAGTATATATCAAAAATAAAATTGACTTTGCATTATAGCCTATCGAAACATCTTGAAATTGGCCTCTGTCTCTTTAATAACCCCCTACCATTTCTGACACTCCCACTTCAGCACATCTTCACAAGAGTGATTCGGGCAAAGCAACACTCTGGGTATGTTTTTGACAAGGGAACAAAACAAATGTAAACAAAATGTAAAACAATGTTCACATTCAAAAGAATGAACTCACCCTTTGTATTAAAGAGTCTGGACTTCCTGCAGTTGTAAACTACTTCCTGTTGACACTGGTCCGACCCGGTTATGATGGCACGTAGTTGTTCAGCTGATGCATTGTAGCTGAACTTCATAACGTGAGGTTTCAGCGGAGAGGAGTTCTGGACTTTGATCGGAGTTGTGTTGTTGTGGGCCAAAACTGTCCACACTTTCTTTTCTACAAAAATACAAAGGTTAAACTTTTATCATTATGTCTCCTTAACAACTTACTAATCAAATGTCGCACAGTGATATCTATTCTGCAAACAAAACCAAATTCAGAATAAATACATTTTAAGCCTGTTAATTCAAATATTATTCAGTGTATTAGCATGCTGACATTTAAAATTTAGCCCCAATCATAGAAGCATTATTTTATCAGCTTACTGCCATCGAAAAATAAGACCCCTTTTTTATCTACACTTCCTGCCCTCCACCATTAACCTGAAGTGGATGGAGATTAGCATCCTAAAAAATCAGTATGTGAAACTATGGGAGATTTTGTGTAGACATTTACTGGAAGCTGATTGTGTCGTAAAATGGGAGGCAAAATAAAAACTAGACATGGGTTTTTATGATGTAAAAACAAGTGTGCATTGCCATGTAGCATGTCATTGCAGCATGGCTTTGCCTGCAGCAGTGGACTTGCAGAATGAAATGTGACCAAGTTCAAATGTGTTTTCTACCAACTTGTGCTTATCAAGTAAGCAGGTGTTTGTGATGATAGTAATTGTGTGACAATATGAAGTTTAAAGAGAATTTTAGTTAAAGCTGCTGTAGCTGGGTTTTGAACCCTGAACTCCCACATGAAAGCCCATGGCATTAACTATTAACCATCAGAGCTGTGGCAGAGAAGATTGCCAGGAGTTGATTGTATGTGTGCTGAAAGAGGCCACATTGCCAATGCAATTGTTGACACTAAACTTAAATATATCACAGCAATAGAGCAATATTAGGACAATATAAAAGTAAAACATCAAAATAGAGTCATACTAGATTTGTAACCACTGAACTATTGTGATTAAATATTTTTAAACTACGGTTCAGTACTGAGTAGATACAGCAGGGGGCAGTATTGGACCAATACAAGGCTCTATTGACTCCCATTATAAATTATTATTAAACATTAATATTTCAAAAACTATATGTTGTACAGGCACCAAAAGGCATAGCCATCATTTGGCACAGAAGCTTTACAGATATACATTACAATGCAGCTCTGGGACAAAGTATGCAGAAGGAGAAGCGTGACAAAGAAGAGATGACTTGGATGGGAAACGAATCACAATAGTGTGCATTGCATTGGCACTYAACTCTGACTAGAAGCACTGGGACAGCACACACACCCTCCAAGACCCTAGCAGTATTTATTTTACTATTATCCAAGGAAGGTGCCCTGTCTACAGAATCTCATGT